TGCTTGCAGTCGAGGTTTTTTCTGCTCCTCACCCCTCCAGTGAGGAGGCTGGGGGGGCACAAGGAGCTGGGAAGGGACACGGCCAGGACAGCTGACCCCAAGTGACCCCAGGGACATCTCTGGCCATCCCAGGCCATCCATGTCAGGCTCAGGGGATAAAGGAGGAGGAAGGGAGGACATTTGGAGTGATTGCCTTTGTCCTCCTGTCCTGGGGATGGCTGGGCCCCTGCCTGCCATGGGAAGTGGGGAATTAATTCCTTGTTCTGCTTTGCTTGCATGTGTGACTTTTGCTCTAATTATTAATCCGTCTTTATCTCAGCCCAAGTTTTCTCAGTTTTACCCCTCTGGTTCTCTCTCTGGTTCCCTGTGGGGCCGAGCTGCTGGGGCTGGGGTTAAACCACCTCATCTGGAAGGAGCCACAGCTGGAATCTGTGCTGGCGCCTGGAGTCTCTGAGTGGACCACGAGATCAGCACGTGACCCCCAGACTGTCCATAGGAGCCTTCAGTGGCACCAATTTAATCGTTAAATATTTGCATGTTTCCAGTTAAAACTGAGCCCAGGAGACTCTGCAAGCCTGGGATGGGCCATGGATGTGTCCTGTGCTCCCCTCCAGCACTGCCTGGTGGGCCAGGGAAGCTCTGGCTGTGCAAGAGTTAAGGGCTGGGGGTTGGGAATTAATTAACATCTTCCATCTTCATCTGATCTCAGGTGGATACTTAATGTTTTTGTCTGCAGAGGTTTATTTTCCTCCAGATTGATTGGATGAATTGTGTTCCCAGAGATCAGAGAGTTCAGATGGCAGAGGATCCTCTTACCAGAAGATGAAAGCCAACATAATCAACTGCACAACTTCAAAACATGCAGCTTGTTCTTGTTGGCTGTGCCTAAGTTTTCCCTGCAGAGAAGCTGTCGACAATGATTTGATATCAATCCAGTAACAATCCCTGGTTTCTAATAATAATTTGCACTTCAGTAGAAATGTTCATGTGAGGCTCTGAGAGCATTTAGCAGATGGTCATTAGTGAAGCTCCCCAGTTCTCCTGCGAGGAAGAGATAACAATTATGAGCCTTGTTTTACAGATAGTGACATCGAGGTGAGGCACTGAAAGGTGAAATAACTCTCCTAATTTTCCATAATGAGCCAGTGGCAACAGATCCATGAATGAAACCCAGGCATCCTGCTGCGATCACTCCACAAACCCTATATCCTTATCTTTCACAGGAAAACGTGGTCAAAGAGATGAGCCTGGAAAGCCAAAAGCAAATGACTCAAAGGCAGGATTCATGACACATTTCTGGAAATAAGGAATTAGGTCTGGGTCAATAAATAACTGGGAAACCAGGGGGACGCAATCCGAGAGGCATGTGAAACGAGGATGGATGGAAAAGAAAGAAGATAATGGAAGGGAGGGGAAGGAAAACAGAGCAGCTCTGACTTTTTATTTCCATTCTTGGTTTCAATCAGCCTTGTAAAATTAAAGGTTAGGCTCTGAGAGAAAGGAGAAAGCTCTATCTGCTCCCGTGGGGATACATCCAATGGGTGAGGCTTCAAACTGCCTGTAACAAAACCCTCTGATGGCTCCTCACCCTGCAGCCAGGTGCCAGCTGTGGGGACATTGCTTGTGTTTCGGTACCTCAGAGGCCATGGGGAGGGCAGGGAAACGGGGCTAGAGCTCTGGGAACAGCGACTGGAGCTCTGGGAACAGCGGCTGGAGCTCTGGGAACAGCGGCTCTGCCCCGCGGCATCACCCACCAAACCGCGGCGGGGCTGGAGAGCGCTGCGGGCTCAGCCTGGCTGGAGGTGCGAGGGCTGGAGCTCTGGAGCTAATTTTAGCTTCCACCTGCACCGGCTTTGCCTTTCTCAGCCAGCAGGGCTGCCCTGCCAGCGCTGAGGGACTGGCTGGTGCCCCGAGCCGCCCCGCGCACACGCCGAGGGGAACGCGGCCCGACTGTGCAGTTTATAAAACAGCCAAGTGGAAGCCAAAAGACTTGAGTCTAATCCCTCCAGTTAAGTCATCTAGATTCCTTCTCGCCACCAGCCATCTGATCTCAATCAGCAAATCTTGGCCTTCCTCTCCTGACCCAGCGAGCGCGGTGCTGAGGCCTGAAGTAATCTGCATGCAAAATGCTTTAGTAATGATTCCTCCAGGAGGGGCTGCTTTGATTGTTATTTCCCAAAAGCCCTCCAATATGAAAGGGGGAGGCAAACAACAAAGGTGGCTTGGTAATGTTTGCCATCAATAATTTGTCAATGCTCTGTAATGTTCCTCCATTTATTTTCAGTGCCTGTGGATTATAGAAGCCTATTGAAAGAGACCTATTTGTATGCATGCCTTAGAAGCAATCACTGGGTATTAAATGGGATGTGCTTTCAGTCTGAAGGTGCTTCCAATTGTCTATTAGTGGGATTCAGCAAGTAAATGAAATGGAATTAAACATCTGTGTCTTTAACATCAATAAACTGCATCACCTTTGGGTGCAGTGTATGTTTCAAAAACGTTGCAGGATCTTCACAGATTTATAAACTCACAGAATGGTTTGGGTTGGGAGGGACCTTAAAGATCATCCAGTCCAGGGACACCTTCCACTAATCCCATGTGGCTCCAAGCCCTGTCCAGCCTGGCCTTGGGGACTTCCAGGGATCCAGGGGCAGCCACAGCTGCTCTGGGCATCCTGTGCCAGGGCCTCACCACCCTCATAGGGAGGAATTCCTTCCGAAAATCCCATCTAACCCTACTGTCTGTGAGTCTGAAGCCATTCCCACTTGTCTAATCACTAATATTGATTTCACCATCCCTCCAAGCACTTCCAGCACCTGAGAGCCAGAACTGGAACCAAAAGTGTGCTGGAGTGGTAACACCAGGAAAATATGGGAGAGCAGCAGTGATGTCTAACGGGCAGGATCTTGACTGGAAAGACTTGGAGAACCTCAGCCACGAACACACCCATGGGTGCTCGTGTTGCAGGTGTCCCTCAGGGACACAAGAGCTTGGTGGAAGCTGCTCAAAGGCAGCTGGTTGGTGTGAGAACTGGGATGGGGATTCTGGAATGCTCATTAGCATATTTGCACTCTGGAACCCAATCCTAGTGCCCATCCAGGAGGGCTCCCAAAGGAGAGGAGAAAAGAGAAGATGAAGAAGGGCACTTCTGTTCAGCCCCAAGGACCCCAACTTTCCCTCTTCTCTTCCTCACACCTCAATTTTCTCTGTTCTTTTCCTCACTTCCCTGTGATGTTAGTTGGGATAACGCAGGAATGACTTCACAATTTCATACATGGAACAGGCAGGGGAGGCAGAGGAAACAGGATCTGCCATTTTCAACCCAGATAATCGCATTACAAAGCCCAGCACGGTTTTCATTATTGTGCCGTGTTCAATCAACCTCCATCCCAAAGGTGCACACGGATCTCAGGCTATTCCAGACTTTGGCAGCTGCTTCACTGTACTTGCTCCTTTTTATTTATTTTTATTTTTTTTTCCATCTTGGGGCTTTTAAATTGATGGGAGGCTGAAGGCAAGAGCTGATGCATTGTAGATGACAACAAAAGAGGCTCCATAAAATTGCTTTTGGCATCTCGTGTGCGTTCCGTCTACATCTTATAAATTACTGCTGCATTACAGCGATAAAAATAGGTTAGTATTTGGAATTGATTACAGTGAGATAAAGCCCTAATAAAAAAAAAAGCACTGATGCATAAATATTCTGAGCATACAGGGGTAATTTGATTTGATAAAATAAAAATATGGCTCTTAATTTCTTCCTTTTAAACAGAACACACACGCACGTGCAGCGCAGGGAGAGCTTCAGCAGCTGTTCAGTTCAGGATTCTCAGAAATGGGTCTGTGCCTCTTGCAACTCTTCCCTTCAGACATTTTTATGGCAATCTCTGCATCACCAGCATTCCCACTGCTGGGTTATAGTATTCCTGCTGCAATCCCAAAGTGTTCAGCCCAGGCTCTGTGCTTCTTCCAGGTGATGAACATTGATTTTCCTCACACCTCAACTTTTCCTGCACTCTTCCTCCCTTCCATGTGACATTAGTTGCGACAATGCAGGAATTACTTCACGATTTCATACATCAAACAGGCAGGGGAGGCAGAGGGAACAGCATCTGCCATTTCATCAACACAAATAATTGCCTTACAAAGCTGCATTTAAAACCTGTGCCCGTCAAAGCTTTTTATTAACCAGGCTGGTTCTGTGGAGTTCACTGTGCAGCACATCAGCTCTGCAGCCAGTGCTCTCGCCCTCACTGGGACTGCAGGATCAGCAGAGGGAGCTGGGATATTGTTTTCTGAGTTCTAACATAAATGGAAGGATAATTTTATTTACACGAGGAGGAGGGAAGCGGCGATTCATGTTTCAGCACGACCAGCCCAACACGCTTCACTCCAGCAAAGCGGTTTGGCTCACACAATAAACCCAGGGAGAACACTGGCCTTGCATCAGGACAAAAGCACGGCCTGAGAGCCATCCTGGAAAGAAAGGCAGGTAACAGCAATGGGGCTGGCAGGGGAATGCAGGATGCAGGACCTGGGGAATCGCAGCAAAGCAGCACATCTGTTCTGCAGCCCAGCAGCTGTGCCCAACCCTTGGGCCACACTGCCGGGAGGTGCTGAGCCTCCAACCCAGCAGAGCCCAGCCCCAGAGCGATGCTGGGCATGGGGCTGGGTCCCCTTGAACCCCTGGAAAAGCTGATTTTTGGGAGGGTTGGGGGCAGGAAGCCGCTGCTGCCGTCCCTCCGGGCCGTGCCTTTGATGTGGGCTGGACGGGATGTGGCTGCGCCTGCTCCCGCCAGCCCGAGCAGGGAAAGGGAAACCAGCGGCAGCAGGGCTGACAATTATCCTTGTCGAGCAGCTTGAGCATTCCTGAGCTTTCAGTAATGTATGATAAGCTGTTGGGAGTAAGATGATCCCCAAAAACCTCCCATGGGAACGGCAAAAGCAGCCCAACACAACTGGTAGCACTTCCACTGAGGGAAACACAGGTAGGCTGAGAGAACGTTACTTTTAAATTTCATTTATTTATTTTTGTGTACATTTCCCGTAATTCGACTGACATACCATTGCTATAAAGATGCCCTGCTCTTTGAATATTTCCATCCAAGACCACTAGTTTCAAGTGTGGTTATGAAAAGTCACGGCAAACATATGACTGGAAAGAGGTGGTTGGTTTTTGACTTCCAGGCAGTTGTTTGAAGCATTTCAGAGATGCACACGATATTCAGCAGAACACACGCACGCACAGTGCTGGGTTACACACACGCACACGCACACACACATCTGGAAAACTGTTACAGTGGTTGAAGTCTCCAAAAAGGTGTACTGTCCCCTCTCAGCAGCAGTGAAAAACCTCTGAGTATCCTGAGAAATCAAATCAAAGCACAGTAAAGAGGAGTAACTTATCCCATCAGAAGGGTTTGGGGTTGTTTGGGGATTTTTTTTCAAGCAAAATGTATTTTGCCGATCTGATTGAAGTGAAGAGGGTGGGGAAAAAGAATCTGTGGCAGTGAAGGTTAAAGAATACCAGTGCAGCACGGATCCTAAAAGCATCTCATTAAAGCAACACCATGGAGTAAAAGCCTCTCAAACGTTACACACACAGTCCTGCTGTCACTCTGCTACCCCTGCTCATCTCCAGGGCACAAGGAACAGCACTGAGATGGGTGAAGGCAGCACAGGGAAGTGTTGCAGGTGGATCCAGGGGGAGGAGACGTGCAGCTGTGCAGGTGGGCAGCCAGGTGACCACGGAGGGACTCTGGAGCACAGGGACACGTCTGTGAGCTTGGCATGTCTGCACCTGGCTGGGAACGGGAGCTCGGAGTGCCCATCCCACACAGGGCAGCTCCACACCCTGGGCAAAGCCCACAGGACACTGCCAACCAGCCAGTGCCACCTCAGACCCATGCCAGTGCCACCTCACACCCTCCAAGCTGCTCTGCCTGCCCAACCACCCTCCCCAAGGCTGTGACTCGGGTGCTGCCTCAGGCTGTGGTGCTTTGGAGTCTCACAAGGAAAGAGTTCCCTCGACAAGGCTGAAAACTGAAAATCACCCACGTTGCACTGTGCTGCCTTTAACCCAACACCAGCTCTGCCTCTGCTCACTGCTTGCACCCCAGGGCTCTCCTGAGGGGCTGGAGCTGCCCCGTGGCCTGGCTGAGAGAGGGGTTGTGTGAGGTGACAGAGCCCTGCAGAGGAAACCAGCAAAGCCTGAGACAACACAAACAAACACCAAGCAATTAAAAAAAGGATGGGAGATGTGGTCTGATGTACTTCTGCCAAGAAATAAATATTTTACACTGCCTTTTTTTTTTTTCTAAAAGCACTTGCATTGTGTTTTTGTAAATCTCAAAATGGTTGAGTAACTCCCTGCACACCCCCAAGCACAACACATGCACACACACACACACACACACACACACCTCACACCCTCTAATGCACACAATTCCAGCTTTGTAGAGCTACTGGATTTACTTTGAGACAAGTTTCTTGTGCATTTGGACAATTTACTTTGAGACAAGTTATTTGCAAGAAGGCAAAGTTCATGCATGGCTTTGACAGCTCCACTTTCTCATAAATGGTTTTTGAAAAGCAGAAAGCAAATGAGGGCCAAAGCTCCATTTAAAGTTCACCTCGGATGCCTGAAAAGCATTTATACCCACATCCTTCTGAGGTCCCTGCTTTATGAACTTCTAATCAATTCCACATTCTGCTACCCAACGTTTCTTATACGTTGGGGAAAGAAAACAAACCAGGAAAAAAAAAGCAGAAAAAAAGAGAAAAACCCAGAAAAAGCAGCGTGAGCTGTCTGAAAACAGCTGCACCACAGCGCCCAGGCTGCCAGGGAAGGGCTTGAGTCACCCTCCCTGGAAGGGCTTAAAATGTGTGGATGTGGCAATTGGGGACATGGGTTAGTGGTGGCCTTGGCAGTGCTGAGTTTTTGGTTGGACTCGATGATTTTAAAGGTTTTTCTACCCTAAATGACTCTGTGGCTCTCTGATTCTGTTATTCTTTATCAGAAAGGCTGGGGAGGATTTTGAAGCTCCTTTCCAAGGGGAGAAAGGGAATAATAAGAACAAAAGCTGATGGGTTTTGAGCCCCCAGTCCTGATTCTCTCCCACACTTCAGGGATTCCCCTCAACATCCCCTAGAGAGCAGGACCTGCAGATGGATTTCTCCATTATTTCTGCAGGACACGTATCCTCCATCCCCAGAGGTGACACCTGGCTGTCCCCAGCCCTGCCTTGGCCCATCCTGACCACCCAGGGCTCAGCAAACTCCATAGAAATCTGACAGAGAAAAGCCTGGCATGAGCCTTGGACAAACCAAGTTTGTCACCAAGCAGATTTTAATTTCCAGGTGGAAAGTGGTTGTTTTCTCAGAATTCAGGGTGGTTTTAATGATGTGACACAGAGCATTTTACCAGCTAAACTGAACCCTGGTGCTACTCAATCCCCTCTCAAAGGAACAAGAAACCCACCTCGTGCTTCCCTCCTAAAAACATAAAAGTGAGCAGGTTTCTTCAGAAACCAGCAAGATGTTAAAAGAAAACTCAAAAAATACAATGTTTTAAAAACAAGATTCCTTATCCCCATCCCTAATTCTAGAGCAAACCAGGACACTAAAAGAAAAATAATCTAAGTTGCTATAAATATAATTTAAAATCATAATTAGGTGTGTACTGCCATCCCAGCTGGTAGGAGATACCACAGGGATTCCACATGGCTCTAGGGCAGGCTGGGAGATACCTTCAGCACCTCTTGGATAGTACCAGAAAGGGATAAATAATAAATAAGAAGAACATGAGAAAGAATAATCAGCCTTCCATGGGGATGGAAAAGCACAGACTTTCACAGTCAAGCAACCAAATGATGTTAGTGTTAAAAAAAATCCTAAAAATAAAGTAAAATAATGATTGCATTACAGGAGGTTGGAAAGTCTTCTCCTTCCTAACATGTTCATGTGCCCTCTTCAACACCAGAGACCACTGGGATCTGGGTGCTTTTCCATTTTTTTGCTCATATTTTGGTGTTTGGGGTTTTTTTTCCTAGCCAAAATGATGTAGAAATATTCTTGTTACAGGTTTCCCACCATCTCAATAAAAAGCAGACTTCACACTTTAAGACAGAAAGTGTAGAAACCCCATATATTGATGATAAACATGGATCTTTGCCAATAAAACTGTAAATCCTAACATTTAAGATTCTGGACAATTTTAGAGTTGTTTAGGGTTTTTTCCCCTACAAGAAATCACAAATTTTACTCCAACACATTTCCAGCTTACAAGAGGCTCCATTTAGCAGCTTCCCCTCATTGTATTGCTATTAAAAAATGCAGAATTCCAGCTCTTTTGGATGTTGTGACTATTTCCAGCAGCCCTGGCACAGGGACAGCTCTCACCAAGCACAAACCACTCAATTTACCAAAATAAAAACAGCGGCAGAGCCCTGGAAATTCACTTTACACATGGATTTTAAAGGGAATATTCAGAGCCAAATCCTGGGTTGGGGGATACTGGATTTTGAGCCCCAGCCTGCGAGAAGCCCCCCAAAAGGCAGAGTCCATGCTGTAGGTGTTTATGCAAGATTTGTGATTAAATTTGGGCTCAGTATGGATGGGGAGATCTGCAGCTGTACCTGGATTTAGGAAAATTCGATCCTGGCTCAACAGCTCTGACAGAGACTGGGATTTATCTTTAAACACAACTTTTTCTGGCTTTTACCAGGCACTTAATCCACATCTCTTCACCCTGGCTGTGCAAATCAAGGACACCTGGCCCTTCCTGACTTTTCACAGTATCCATCCTGAAAAAAAACCAAACCCTTAAAGATGCTGAAGGTTTTTGGGTGTTCTGGGACACCCCGAGATGGCTGAAGGCTCTCCTAGAGGGAAAAATCCCGAGATCTGGCAGAACCCAACACCTCCTTCCCACAATTCCTGGGGAAAATGTGTCTGTGTGAGTTTTTGGAGGCCATGGATACTCCAGGCTGCTCTTCCAGCCTCCAGACATTGGCCCCTCTCACTGAATTTATCTCCATCAACCTCCTGGAACAACTTGGTGTGTCAGGTCACAGCCTTTTGGAAAGATCACGGCCTGCTCTCATTATTTCCTCAAAAAGAATCATTATCTAAGGGCAAAACCAGACTGAATTCAAGCCTGAATTATTCCTGGAAGATAAACCAAGCAGCAGCTTTCCTGATGGGTTCAGGAATACTTGGGGTGTGTTTAGTCTTGATTCAAAAATTACACCACTGCGAGTTTCCTGGATTTAGCTAAGCCCAAAAGCGAAAGTACCAGATCAAAATACTCCGAAATAAAACTCCTAGGAAGGGTTTTCAGGTCTGGCCAACACCAGAGAGCTTTGGAAATGACCAAAAGACGTCTGAGCTTTTGAGATTTCCATCTCCACTTCCAAGCTTCTCCCGCCTTATCCCCGCAGAACCTCATGGCCGCTGGACGCTCGCCCCGTCCTTCAAACACCAGGAGGCTCCCGAGGAAGAGATTGTGGCTCATCCTGGCTGCTGGCTGGGCTGGGACACCTCAGAGCAGGGCTGCTGCAGCTCCAGAGCTGCCCAGCATTCCCAAAGGACAGCAAATGCAGGGACAAACTCCTGCAGGGTGGCTGTGCAGCTGTGGAATTTGGGAGCAGGGAACTGGAGAGGACAGGCAGCTCCTTCCTCCCCCAAAGCACTCCATGGACTGCAGGCCCCTTCCCCTTCCTGCTGGCTGCCAGTAAAATCCCATGAAAATAAAAAGATGAGAAATATTTTGACATGAAAATAAAAACATGAAGGTGTCCACAGAGGCCCAGAGCTCTCCAGCATCCCAGGGCTGCTCTGAAGGACTCATCACAACCATCCTGCAGCCCCAGCTGCTCCCTGGCTGTCCTTGGTGAACACCCTCCTCCTGCTGCCCTGAAAATGGGCTATTTTCAGCATTAAGCTGTTGAGACCACCTTGAAAGCCTCTCCTCTCTTCTGTCAGCTCCAGAGCCTCTCCCAGGCTTTTCCCTTTTTTTAAGGCCACGCAGCAGCAGCGTGCCTTGGTCACCTGCAGGTTTTTCCCTGTGGGTTTCTTTTGGGTTTTAGATTCTGCTCCCCTTGCTGGAGCTGGGGATGAGTGGGACCCAGTGCCCACAAATGTGGGCCTGAGGGAAGATGTGGGAGGGCAAGGGCAGCCAGGCTGCTCAGGCTGTGTCCTGCCTCTCCTGCTCCTCCCTGGCAGAGTGGACTGACAGCAGCTGCCCATCAGAGCACTCAATTTGTCCCCATGCCATTAAATCCACCCTTAAAGTTCACTGCACTGTGAGAGTCCTTTCCTTTTATCCAGCAATGGACCTTTGTGCCTGCAGCACTGCACCAGCAGCTCCTGGCTGTGTTTATTCATCTGCAAACACCTCAAACTGAGATGCAGCTTTTTCTGGCCCTATTTATTGCCAAAAGCCACTGTTTGTATGGAGTGGGGTTATGTGAAGGAGCAGAGTCCTTTCAGCCTTCAACAGAGCTGCCACTCCTCCAGCCACGATCCAGGAGGGAATCACCCAGCTCTGCAGAGCACAGGGCAAATTTCACATTCTCCATCTGCTCCAGCAAAGGCTGAGCTGAAATATTAATGAGGAGATCTGCTCCCTTCACACCAGAAACAATCTGGGTTTTATAGCCCGGGCAGAGGCCAGAGGAGCAGGCAAAGCTCTGGGATCCATCCTCTGCTGCTGCTTGAGGGCTTTGAAGAAAACAAGGAGCCTGGGGGCAGGACACAGAGTATGAAATGTGGATATCTGGTGTGTTCTGTGTGTTCTGTCCAGCCTTCCACTCCCCAGGCTCAGCCCCCTCCTCTGGCCATGGCCAGAGCAGAGAGAGGAGCATGCTCTAACATCAACAACCATAACATGGCAATAAAGATTAATGAGCAAAACTTGCCATTTTATGTCTAATCCATGGGGATTTGTGATAATTAATCTTTATTAGTGTGTAATAACTGTTTAGACACTAAGGACAGATTCTCAGCTGGACAAAACTGGCCTTCCTCCAGCCAAGCCAATGGAGCAGTGCCAGTTTACACCCTCCACGACCCCAGCTCTACATGAGCCATCCCATCTGTAGCAATCACAGCACTGACAGTATTTCCCCAGCAGCAGGGGCACAGAAGTGAAGGCAACTATTTGTCTTTCCCTGTATCCCAAAAAAAGAGAGCTGCATGTGTCCAGGAAGCTCAACAATAGACATGTCAATAAACACTAGGAAATTCAATGAAAAAGCAACAGCAACAAAAGGAACCCCAAGGAGCAGGGAAGTGGATGGTTTCAGAGGCAAGACTATAAGATCTGGTTTGGCAGGAGCGTAACTAAGAGGGATCTTTGGCATGTGAAAGAGTGAAAGCACCAAGACAGACTCCCAGAGTTCCTCTAACAGGAACAAGATGGAAGGGAAAAAAAAAAAAAAAAAAAAAAAGGAGCATCTTGGCTGGCTTTTCTGAGAGAGGAGTTTGGGGGTTGTTTTGAATAAGAAAGACTTATTAAACACGGGAGCTGGTGGGAATCTTGTGTGAACCACACCAGACCAGCCACTGAAGCAATGCTGTGTTGACCAAGCAGGATTTCCTCTTCCAGAACGTGGAGGGAAGAAGGGAAAAGTGCAGGTACACACATGGCTGGCAGCAAGCATGGAGAAATCCCAGTGGAGGCTGTGCCCTCAGCCCCTGGCAGCCCCTTCCCACCTGGACAAGGTGCAGCAGCACTGCCCCAGCAGCACCTGCTCAACAGCAGGGTTGAGAATTGAGATTTTTTTAGAGATTTTTTCAAGTAGGGACCCACACCTGCCTCCAGAAATGAAGTTTCACCTCTTTAACAAGTCAGAGTTGCCTCTTGTCACTGCTAAACTCATCAAAAGTCAGGGAAAACCAGAGAAATACAGTACAGAGATATGTGTGTCAAGGTTTGTACACCTGGAAGAACTCCAGGAAAGATGGGCATTGCACCCAGTGCAGCAGCATGAACCTGGTGTTTAAAAACAGTAGCCAGAAAATGCCCTCCAACTCCTCTTTCAGATTTAAGGGTCCAAAGGGCTCTTGGGGACCCAGAAAACACTTTTCACACCAGTGACACTTCAGAGCTCCAGCCATGGCAAGGCCTGCAGCACCCTGGGGATTGCAGGGGCTGTACCGGGGGAAGAGGAGGATGGACATCACACCTGGGGATCCCTGGGGATGGGCTGTGCCTCCTGATAAGCTGTGGCAGCCTGGAGGGGCCCTCCTTGCCCTGCAAACCCACCCACAGCTGGGCCAGCCCACAGCCCAGTGCTGAGCTCCCAGCAGCTTTGCTCTCTCTCTGCTCCCTGGCTTTGGGGTTCTTTCAGGTTTATGGCATTTGAGACCTGCTTCTCTAAAAATCCCAGTTTGGGGCAATCCTAAGCCCTGTGCTGTGTGAACACAGAAAACCTTTGGGAAGAACATCCCTAAGCCTCAACCCCTGGGCTGTTCAGGGGGCCAGGCTCTCAGGAAAGGTTTCCCAGAGCATGTCTGGCCAAACAAAGATCTGAGCAGCAACCAAAGGCTTTTCATCTTCACGGAGGTGCCAATTAAACAGCAGAGAGGAGAGCCTGACTCATCCTGCAGGTCTGCAGGGCTTTGAGGCACACAGGAATCCCTGGCTCTCCTCCCTGAGCTGAAGCCACCAAGCTCAGGCTTCTCTCTAAGGAATTCCTGGGTCAGGCCAAGCTCTGTGTCCACCACGAGGGATGCAGGGACAGCACTGGGCACCTCTCACAGCATTTCCCATGCTCAGACAGCTCCACACTTACTCTGGGCTGACACAAACGACTTGAAAAGGAACAAAGTCATGGAGAAGGAGCAGGGAAGGGGAGGGATTTGCTGCGTGCCCTGTTGTAATGTCATTAAAACAAAGGGATTAGAGCAGAAAGCAGAAAAGCGAGGCCTGTGTGGAGGCAGGGAGGAACCTTTCAGAGGGTTACTAGCTGCAGACAACACTGCCATTAATTCTCTATTGGAAAACGCTGGTGACATTAATATCTGCTATTAATACTGAGCCTTGACAGTGTCTCATAAATTCAACCTGTCAATTACAATGGCACTGAAATGAAGGTGCTCTGAGGTCAAGGAGATGCGGTGTCCAAATGAGACTTATATTGCAGGGGAAAAGCAGCAAAAACAATCTTGAACAAAAGCATCAGATCCATATGTAGGAAAACCAAAGGGTGGTTTTAAATGTCATGTTTTTCAAAGTGAGAATTGATGCTGGAACCAAGTCTATAAACTGGCTGGCTGGACTTTCAGCTGCAGCTGAGGACAATCAATCAAAACAGCTCTGTGACTCTGAGAAAGCGAGAGAGAGAAAACACACACACACACACCATGGAATATGAGAGGGCAGATCATGAGCCATGCGAGGCCTCTTAAAATTACACTGTGAAGTAAAACATCCTCGTGTTTCACCCGCCACAAAATATAACCTGAAAGGTTCCCCTGGGCACAGGGTGAGACATGGAGCTTGTCCTGCCCCGAGGGCTGGGCAAGGGGAACCTCCTCCCCAAACCTGCACGAGCTGTGAATGGCACCCTGATTCCTGCTAGCCCTGCTCTGCAGCCGAGGGCACAGGGATTGATAAATCCCACAAATGCTCCCCTGTCTGCCACTGCCAGCCCAGGGCAGAGCTGCAGCACCACAGGCTGTGGTGGCAGTGACAGTGACAGCCCAGGCACTGGCGGTGTCTTTGTGCGCCTCTCTGAAGTGTTGGCATGTCCCCAGCATGTCCCCAGCACGGGAGGTGCCACCAGCCCACAGCCCTGCTCTGAACACTGCCCTGCCAGGGGATCCCTTCCCAAAATCCCCTCAGACTGTTCCACCCTGCACCAGCAGAGCCTGGAGCTGCTAACCTGGCACAGCAGGGTGAGATGACATCTTGCACAGGGTAAATGACATCTGCATATGGTCAGTGACACCTGCACAGGGTCAGTGGCATCCTGTACAGGTTCAGTGACACCTGCACAGGTTCAGTGGCATCCTGTACAGGTTCAGTGACACCTGCACACAATCAGTGACACCTGCACAGGGTCAGTGACATCCTGTACAGGTTCAGCACTGCAGAGCAGGGTTCAGTGACACCTGCACAAGGTCAGTGACACCTGCACAGGGTCAGTGACATTGGCACAGGGTCAGTTGACACCTGCACAGGTTCAGCACTGCAGAGCAGGGCGTGTTTCTGGTCAGACCTGGCTCTGAGGGGCCGTGGCCAAGCGAGGGGTGGGGACGGAAGCGCGTGGTGCAGGGGCACGAGGCACTTGTGCAGCCTCCCCAGAACGCACAGGCAGGCCCCGTGGCAGGGCTGGGGGAAGGAGCCACGGGCAAAGGCAGAGGAGCTCAGGCAGCTGGGCAGGTGTGGCTCAAAGCAGCGTTAATGTGGAGCCAGCGGCCTCGCTCCGGGCTCAGCAACACTCACCGTGCCCCCTGCTCCAGACACCGACTGACCCGAGGGCAGAGGGATCTCCAGCTCCTCTCCCACCTCACCAGCCCCCTTCTCCTGCCCCTGGCTTGCAGCTTGTCCCCAGGGACCCAGCCAGCAGCAAGGGGCTCCTGGGCAGGGTGGGCTGTGGTGTCCCTGTGTGGTTTCCCAGGCTGCAGGTCCCACCTGCAGCCCAGGGCAGAGCCCAGTGCTGCTGGCTGCCTGCAGCATCCCAGCTGGGGCTGGACACAGCCCAACCCACATGCCAGCACGGGCTCCTGGCAGCGCTGGCACTCCCAGACCCTGTGGGCAAGCACGGAGGGATTGCTGCCAAAGCAGTGCCAGGAGCCCTGGAAACCAGCACTAAACCGTGCCATTTGTCACAGGTGTCACACCGTGCATCCTGTGATCCTGGCTCACCCCGAGGAGCAGAGAGGAGCTCCCGTGGAGGCCCAAAGCAGCTCATCCCCAGCCCAAGGCAGCCTCGGGCACTGCAACGCTGCTGGGCAGGTGGGCACTGACCAGGGCAGCCTCCTCCTCTTCTTTGTGCAACTCCTCTGGCAGCCTCCTTCCTTCCCTCCGGGCCTTTTGTCCCAGACATTGTCCCAAACACTGTCCCAGTGACTCCCAGAGCTCCCAGCCTGCCTCTCCAGCAGGGCAGGGGGTGGGACAGGGCTGGGAAGCTCCAGACTTGGAGCTTGGTGTCTGGAGAAGAGGTGACCACAGGGGACACCAGGGCCTTCCTCCCTGACACAGCTGAGCTGCAAGTCTTCTTATCAATTCCTTTTATGATGCACATTAAATATATTCCACATCAGGGACACTTCTCCTCTCCTCTCTCCTCTCCTCGGACACCTTTTCCCCAGCAAAGCCTTACAAGTGCTGCTTGCTGTGGCCTCATTTTGCATCATCATCATCATCATCACCACGCACTCATCCTCATATAAAACAGAAATCTATTCCATCAAGCACTTAACATAAATATTAAAATAATGGAAGGGACAAAATATAAATCTACATACAACTTCATGACTACCATAGCACCTATTACCATGACAAAGCAAATTCTGGTTCAAGGGGAAGGGAAGGGGGATGAGGAGCAAGTTAGGAAGAGGAACCTTGACGGTCATTAAATATGTAAATCACTCTTTCAAAAAAAAATTTTTTTGTTGTTGTTTTGTTTTTTGTTTTAAGGTTACCAACCTTATTAAAATTCATTCCACTAACCAGCTCGTTCTATGTCACTATGGATACCAAAGAACCCTTTAAAAAAACTCGGGCGAGGCGGGGGTTTCTCAGAATAAAACCACACCAAAACAAAACAAAACAAAACACGGCAACTTTCTGTTGGTGCTTCCATGACAAGTCCTGCCACGTGCCCCTCCCCTGCACCCACCAGTCCACAGAAGGGCAATTCTTTTCCAAGTCCAGTTCTCAGTCTCCCAGGATGAGCTTGACAAAAGAGGCGACGTCTGTCTCTTTGGATTCGTGCAGGGTGAAGAAAGGATGTTGCTGGGAAAGCAAAGAGAGAAAAACCAGCAAAGTTTATTATTCACCACACTGTGTAAAAAAGCTTTTCAGACAACACTCTAGATAGTGAAGAAGGTTTTCTCCTTAGCATCATAATATTGGGTTTTTACAGCTGAGGCAAGTGGGGGAGCACAAGAGCTGCTCCATGAACCCCTCTGGATTCCCCCCTGGCCCTGCCTCGGCTGGGAGGGCTGAGTGGGCAGCTCTGGAGGCAAGGGGAAGGCTTAGAAAACCCTCTCCATGTGCCCCAAAACACTCCCCAGACCATGGTTACCCTTCCAGCAGGAGCAGGGCAAACCTTGCTGGCTGCAGTGGTTTTCCCTCAGCTCTATCTGTGTATTTACCCTCTGGTGACTCCTGAGCCTCATTTCCTCCCTGAACTGCCCCTCCCCGCAGCAGAAGAGGCTCCTTCACCCCAGCCACCACACAGGAAAGCCATCCCAACTGGAAAACCATCCCCACTTGTGTGTTTAACTGCTTCATCCTGACCAACGTGGGGACACAGCCTGCCAGAAAACCCTGCTGACATTTCAGCACCAATGGAAAAATACGGGTGAGGAGGAAAAACACAACCAAATCCCCCCCAGAGCAACAAAACCCCTCTCAACCAGGACCAGCAATTCAGTTTGGTTGGTTCAGACACACACCAAGCTGAGACCCCATCTGAAAACCCTCAAAACCCTGCTTGATACCCACTGTCCTGGCAGATAATTGGATTTATTTGTATGGAGGGTGTCAGAGAGACCCAAAAGGCAGCCAGGGCCCTGCAGGGCTCACAGTGATTGCTGCTCTGTACAAGGGTTTGATTTCCAACCCTCTCATTTCAAGTCAGATTTTTAAAGGTAATTGGGGGTTTCCAGGGTTTTTCCAAGCTGCCCCTCAGCTCAGTTCCTGAGCTGTTTCTTGGCAGTGGCCAAGAGAAGGGAGAAGAAGAGCAAAGAAAAGAGATTTTTCAAGGTGGGCTTGAGTGGAAAGTCACCCAGGGAATAAGATGAGGCAGCTCAGAGTGGCTGGGAAGCGATCCAAAGACACACCAGTAAGGAAGAGGAAACACAATTATGTGGGAAACAGGGCTGGAATGGGCTGAGGCAAAAATCCAGACAAAACTTAAGGTCTCCCTAGGTCAGACAGTCACAGGAATTGAAGTGTCCTGAATAACTCCGAGGTGACCCCAATGTCTCGTTATTATCCCAGCACGACGTCCCTGCTTTCACACCCCACTGAAGTGACACCCAAAGCACAGCTGCAGTGACACTCAAAGATGTGCCAGGGGTGGCAGCAATGCCCTCCAGCCCTGTGCCCCAGGGTAGCCAAGGCCTGAGGCGGGCCCAGAGCCCTGTGCCAGGCAGGGTGTGCAGACCACCGCTCCTGCAGTAGTTTCATGCTCCACTTCACCTGGGGCAGGGGGTTTTTAAATGAAATTAAGCTCCCCTATCAGCTTTCCTGATGCTCAAGATAGCACAGAGTCACATTTTCCATGAGAAACCTCAATTCCACAGGAAAGCAAGGGAGCAGTCTTGGTCTAAATGACAAGTCCAATCCTGCACCACAACTTAATGCTGTAAGAGAGAGGAAAAAACCCCAACAGAACAGCAATCCTCAACCACAGGACCTCACAACATCCATGTCAGCCATAAAATACCACAGCATTGAGGTACTCTGCAGGGGTGATCCAAGAAGCTAATTCAATAGAAATGCACTCCCTTGCCAATGGGTATTAATGCTGCAGCAGACAGAGCTGCTTCAGTGAACCTCTCTTGATAAAAGGCCATTTGGCAAAGTTCAGAAGTTTGCTTAAAATATACAGATGGATTTATTCAATAATATAGCCCCCAAAAAATAAAGTTTTGTAAAAAAAGCCATAAATCTCAGGCCTCTCTTTGTTTGAAACCAGTCTGGGGGCAAGCTGTCTGTCAATCAGATTTATTTATAGTTTAATTGCATTACAGGGCCCAGCACCAAATGCCATGGGAATTATTCACTGCTTACAACTCAGGGTCATGGATTTCCAGCATGACTTGCAGGTAAAAATCACCTTAAACCTGCACCTTCTCACCTCTGAGCAGGAGGTGTGAGGTGGTGGTGGGTCTGACCCTCTGGTGGCAGAATGTATATCCCAAAAATTGTGGGGTAGGGAATATGAGTGCCTAAAGAAATCCCTCAGCAGTTTCCACCCTTAATCCAGGTGATCTTGATAACCCTGGACAGGGGTGGGAATGCAGGGTCAGGATCCTCAGAAATACAAATTTAGGCACCTTCCTGCCTTTAGAAAGCTGTGAATTGTGTGAGAGTAAAAAAGGATTAAATGTCTCCAGGAGTGAAGCACCAACTTCCTGAGCTCTCCTGCTTTTTGCCAGCTTTTAGGAGCACCAGGATCAATACCCGAAGGTCAGGGGAGAGAGAGGGACCATGAAGCTGTGGAGCCCAAGCAGAAAAATCTGTTCTTGCCAGCTGCAGCCCAGAGCTCTGGCTGGGCACAGAGCAGTGCCCTGCATTTCCCCTGTCACAAACCTTTATTGGTATTTTCCTCCTTGGTTACTCCTCAGTTATCCCTCCCAGTAAACAGTCTCTAGGCAGCAGATGAAATTCAATAACCGGAATTATTAGTCACAGACTCGTCCCTGTCCCCAGCATCCAGGAATTACTCTGCCCAAAAATCCTCCTCTCCAAAGCCCCGCTGGCCACTGGGCTCCTGCAGCTCTTGTGGAGCATCTGGGGCACTGAGGTGTTTGAGTTGATCACACAAACCCCAGAGGAGGATTTGAGCCTCTCTGATTCTTCACAGCCTCATTCTTGTCCATAACCTGCTTTAACATGTATTTTCTCCCTTGATTTCCAAAAAAGGTGGAAAAGCACCTGGCTGGGATTTCAAAGAGCATGTCTGATTTGCAGCCACCCTCCCAGGATTCTGAAGCGTCACAGTTCTCCCATGTGGTATGAAAAAAGAGATGCAAAGCATTCCAAAACACCATCACTATTGGAATCTCTGCCTTGAGCACCTCACTGTGACCCTTTCCAGCTCTGAACACAGTGCTTGATGCAGCCACACTCACCATAAGCTCTGGGTATGTTGGCCGTTCTTTGGAATTCTTCTTCAAGCTTTAATTGGGAAAAAAGAAAAAAAAAATTAGAATTTACATTCTGTCTGCAATTTAAGTAAGACCATAAAATTACACCATGACAAAAGTAAGGTTTAAAGACTCTTCAGAATAAGTTCAGCTACTCCTCCAAACTGAGGAAACAATTTAGGTCTTGAGGACAGCGACAGCCAACAGTGCTGGGTACAAGAGCTCAAGGTCCACCAAGAGACCTGGAGCCACCAAATCACCACTTAAACCACTGCCTCTTGCTGGGGACCAGGTACAACTGGGAGTTTGGGTGCTCTCCAACAGGCCAGTGACTCAGGGAAGGGATTCTGCCTGGGAGCAGTGACTGAGTGGCTGCAGAGCACGTGTCCAACTGTTTGTTTATCACCGTGCTGTTATCAGCGGGGACGGTTCCATGGGACATCCTTTTTTTCTCCTCTCCTACAACAGATGGCCCTGGAGGGTTGTAGCTGGAAGTTATTTTGGTTTCCCTCCAGCAGAAAATAGCTTTTTAAAAGACAGGACGTAATCTCTACTCACTTCCTGGCAGTGTATTTAGGGGAAAGAAACTTGGAGCAACTTGAAAAGATCTTCACACACGTACGCGGCTGTGGCGGGGAAAAGGTGTCACACTGAGCAAAACAAAAGTGAGAACCTCTGCTGGGATTTGCTGGGGCCCAGAGGAAGCAGAGGACACACACTGAATAGATATTTCCTGCTTGCTGTGTGTAGAGGGCTCGTGTTTAGTGTCATGTTGTGAATGAACAGAGGAACCTGGGGCCCATACGTGCCAATATCGCCGGCCCGAAGGTACGGGATGTGTCACATCCTCCCAGCTCAGGAGCAGCCCCAGCCCAGATGACAAGGTGAATTTGAAGGTTAGCTGTATCCAGATTTGGTGCAATTCTCTTAATTTAGACCCTCTACAAAACCAATTCATCCCCAGGTTACTAATAGCAGGAAATATGGTGATAAATTACTGAAATCTATGCAAATTTTCAGGAATGAAGAGTTATATTGGGATCTGATCCTGACTCAGATATTCCAGAGACCTTCCTGCAGTGCCTACAGCTGATCAGACTTCAGGCAGCAGATGGATAAACACAGTCCTAAGCCAGGCTTGATACAGAGTGGCTGTGACCTGGTTCCGTGTCAGAAGGAATTCCCAGACCCCAATAACACCGAACTGGTGCAAAGTTCACCATTCCAAGTCCATGCCATTCTGCTGGCAGTCAGGGATCTCCAGTGACCCTGGAGGACAGGATTTGCAAAGACAGGAATCACCATGTGCTCCCCAGCGTGGCTGTGGATGGAAATCCTAAAGCAGCCACAGCCTGACTGCAAGACACAGGGCTTGGAAAAGCAAATCCCCCAGGGAGGAACAGCCTGCCTGGCACAAGCAGGGAAACAGCAGAGCCAGCAGCACTGTGTGCAGGAACAGCAGCTGCTCCAAAGCCTCAGCGTGGGCTTGGCAAGAACGGGGGGCATCTTGGGAAAGGGTTTTTCTAAGGCAGCTCCCACCCCTCCCAGAGCCAGGGCACAGTGGGCATGGCAGGTATTCCCCAGCGTGGGTCAGGAGCTGAGCAGCTGGACCACAGGGACATGAAAACATGTTTGAACAAGACTCTGAAGAATCTAAACGTGGGTATTGAGAGTCCCCAGGCAGGAGCAGCTGACAGTCCTCTTCCTGGGGCACGGCAGAGCCCTGGCCCCAGTGCTGGCAGCTCAGAGCAGTCTCACATTTCTGTTTGTCCATCTGCCAGCCTTTGTGGCCACCACGCAGAGCCAGCAGCCACCTGCCAGCCTGGCAGGCGCGTGGGTGGCACTGCAGTGCCCGCCTGGAACACCCAACCCTGCAGGGAAGCTGGAGGGAGCCTGTGAGGGCAGGGGCTGCCTGAGCTCTCTGTGCAGCCTGCAGACAGCAGCAGGGCTGCTCCAGCCCTTTCCTACAGCACAGCCAAATGCTCCTGCTGCTTCCAGCTCCCAGGGCTGGGGAAAGCACAGCAGCAGCCCCAGGGACCTGGGAGAGGGACATAGACTGGTCAGAGGGGGCCACCATGGGGCAAAACCTGCCCTCAGAGCCCTGCCCCCTGCAGGCAGTTTGGGGCCATTGGGATGGGGCTGTGTGTGACACAGTTTGTGATAATTGGGGTTGGGCTGTATGTAGCACACAGTTTGGGGTCACTGGGATGGGGCTGTGTGTGGCACACAGTTTGGGGTCACTGGGATGGGGCTGTGGCCCAGCCTCATCCCCAGTGGGTGCAGCAGTGAGAAGCAGGTGAGCAGCACTGCCAGCAATGAGCCATGGAGTGCCCAGGTGTGCTGAGCAACCACCAAAGGGCACAGAGAGCACACAGGGCAATGCATGAACATGAGGGGTATAAAAGGTTGGGCTAAAGAACAAGAAGGGTGGATGACTGAAGCTTTCTGGTGTTACTCTGTATGGGTTGAAGCTTTCTGAAGTTGTATGGTGACACTGTGTGTTTTGAGGCTGTTTCCAATGTGACAAGTGCTGTGACATCCCCCAGACAGGATGCAGCCATTCCACACCCTGCTGCCCCTCCACACTCAGGGCCATGAGCTGTCTGGCTGCACCTGCTCACAGCACCCCTGTGCTGCTGGCATGGGAGCAATCAGGGCCAGGAGCCTCCTAAACCCTGTGTGTCCCCTCCAAGAGCCCAGCCTGCCGCTCAGACAGACCCCCAGCTGACACCAGCACTGCTGTGTGTCACCTGCACAGCGCTCAGTGAGGGCACAGGAAATGTTCTGCCCAAAACTGGAGCTCAGAGCTGCCTGTGGAGACGTGGTGAAGGTGAAGGGCCAGGGAGAGAGGGAAAAGAGGGGAAATGTTACCATTGCGAGGTAAAATCGACGAACTCTGCTGAGAACCTCTCTGCTGGGAGCTGTGGCGAGGGCTCCTCCACCACCTGCTTGAGCTGCTGGAAGGGCGTGCCCCAGGAGTCGTAGGGAAAGCGCAGGATGGCCAGCTCGATCTGCAACACACAGCCCACGCCTCAGGAGAGGGGGACACCCCACAGCCACCCCACGGGTTTGGGATGGCCCTGTGCACACCCAGGGTGTGGTTTTGTAGGCTCCACACAAATGGGGTTGGTCAGCCTGGAGATGGGAACGTTCCTAAGAGACCTTAGAGCCCCTTGCAGTGCCTAAAGGGGGATTCCAGAAAGGAAGGAGAGGGACTTTTTACATGGGAAAGCAGTGATGGAACAAGGGGGATTGGTTTTGAACTAAAAGAGAAGAGAGATCCATTAGATATTAGGAGAGAAATCTTCCTTGTGAGGGTGGGGAGGCACAGGGTGCCCAGAGAAGCTGTGGCTGCCCCTGGATCTCTGGAAGTGCCCAAGGCAAGGTTGGACAGGACCTGGAGTACCCTGGGGTAGTAGAAGGGTGTTGCTGCCCATGGCAGGGGATGGAATGAAATGGTCTTTAAGGCCCCTTCCAACCCAAACCATTCTGGGATTCTAGGATTTCCTCACCCCACCTGGCCACAGCATATTGCTTATCCTCCCCCAGCAAACAGGAGAGGCTGGAGGAGCCCCAGCCAGCTCCACAGGCAATCCCTGTCACCCCCGTGCCAGAATCCCCTGGGAAAGGCTGGCAGCCCACCCTGCACAGGGTAACTGGACTTTGGATTCCCCCAAAGCACTGCCTGGGAGCCACCCCCATCCCTGCTTTCCCGAGGGGGCCTCTGTGGATGGCTGAGTGCTGGGAATGCAACCTGCTCCATCATGCCTTAGCCCATGCTGCCATCTCCCGGCAGCTGCAGCCTCCACATCCCTCAGCAGCCAGGAGCCGACAAAGCAGCTCCCTCCAATGCTTCCCTTCCACCCTGGGGCACCTTCCTGAGCCCTTCCCCTTCCTACTCCGTGCCACCAGTATCGCTGTGGGGAGGAGAATGAACCCATGAGCCACACCAAGCCCTCGTGGTGGCCCTGGCAGCCCCCATGTGACCCTACCATGATGATCCCCAGGTGACAGCCCTGGCAGCCCCAGGTGACCCCCCCATGGTGATCCCCAAGTGACAGCCCTGGCAGCCCCAGGTGACCCTACCATGGTGATCCCCAGGTGAGCCCTGGCAGCCCCAGGTAACAGCCCTGGCAGCCCCAGGTGACAGCCCTGGCAGCCCCAGGTGACCCTACCATGGTGATCCCCAGGTGAGCCCTGGCAGCCCCAGGTAACAGCCCTGGCAGCCCCAGGTGACAGCCCTGGCAGCCCCAGGTGACCCTCCCATGGTGATCCCCAGGTGACAGCCTGGCAGCCCCAGGTGACCCTACCATGGTGATCCCCAGGCTCCAGATGTCGGATTTGACGCTGTATCCCTTCTGGTTCAGCTCTGGGTTAATTCTCTCAGGCTGCCAACAGAGACAAAGGAGGGTGAGGAGCAGGGATGCCCCCAGTGCCCTGCCCACGCCCAGGGTGGGTCTCTCAGGGTGGCAGCCCAGCCCCCTTAGCCCACACAGCCATGTCACCCTCCTGGTTGTGCTGGTTCCCCATCCTCACCAGGAAGGGCAGGCAGTGAAATGTGTCACCAGAAAGTGGCACCTGCACCACGGGCTGGGGTGGTGGAGCTGACCTGGCACAGCAGGCACAAAGGGGATGACAAGCCTCAGCTCTCCAGGACTGTTTTCACCATGCTCGAGTGCCCCACGAAGGGTGAATCCTGCACAGCAGCTCCCAGGAGCAGCCCGAGGCACACAGTCCCTGGGTGTTTTTCCTCCCCGTGCTAAGCACTACTGTCCCCACGGGGCAAATGGGAACCAGGCAATGGGGAGCAGTTCCAGAACCCTCCCCAAGGTCACAGGCAGGCAAGCAGGCAGCAGGAAGGCGTGCCCAGATGTGACCTGAGCCATGAGATCAGATCAGATCTGCCTCCCCTCCCAATGGGATTGCATCCCTTCACTTCAGGGCCACCCAAAGGAATCCCCAGGATAGGTGCTGGAGGCTGATCCTTCCCCCCAGGCTCATGTTCCTCTGGCTGCTCCCCACACTTCAGCTTCTCAACTTACAGCCATGTAGGGTTTGCATCCTGCATCCATGGTTTTAGCAACAGAGTCAACGAGGTAACCGCTAATCCCAAAATCGCACATTTTCACCTGCCCCTGCGTATTGATCAACACGTTAGAGGGCTTTACATCTGCAAAAGGAACACAGAGCACAGTCACTGTCACATGGGGTGCGGGGCCAAGGCACAAGCAGCCACAAAGGGTTCAGCAGCAGAGGGCACAAGGAGCTCAGCAGAGCCCAGTGCTCCGGGTGTGCCAAAAACCCACTGGCTACAGCTGTGGGGTGTGCAGGTGACAGCCTCAGGGGCCTGTGGTGTGCAGGTGACAGCCTCAGGGGCCTGTGGTGTGCAGGTGACAGCCTAGTGGGCCTGTGGTGTGCAGGTGACAGCCTAGTGGGCCTGTGGTGTGCAGGTGACAGCCTAGTGGGCCTGTGGTGTGCAGGTGACAGCTTCATAGGCCTGTCATGTGCAGGTGACAGCCTCAGGGGCCTGTTGTGTGCAGGTGACAGCCTTAGGGGCCTGTTGTGTGTCTGCCAGTGCCCCTTCACTCACACAGCCCCTCCCTGATCCAGGGCAGCAGCAGGAGGTAACTCTGCGTGTCACCATCACATGCCACTGCTCAGGGAATGGCCACGGACACCAGGGAGCTCACAGGGAGCAGCTCCACAGGGCTGGGGGTGGTTCTGTGGGGTGGTTCTGGGGGGTGATTCTACAGGATGATCCTGTGGGGTAATTCTAAGGGGTGATTCTGCAAGGTGATCCTGTGGGGGTGATCCTGGGGGGTGATCCCATGGGGTGATCCTGTGGGGTGTCTGCAAAGGGCTGGAGCTCTGGCAAGGCCCCACAGGTCTGGAGTCATGCCAACAAAAGGAAAAACCCATGGGGGAAGGATGTGGGGCAGGAAAGGGTGAAAGGGCTGAAGGGGAAGGAGAGAGCAGTAAACTGAGACACGGATCAAAGGTTCAGAAACCTTTGGCCTCTGATTTTAAGGACACAAAGCCCGACTGCAGTGTGAGCAGCAGCAGGAGAGTGGGAGCTGCACACCCCATGGAAATCAGGCCAGAGTCTCATCTCTCTATTGCTGCCAGATTTATCACTTCCCATCGTGGCTCTACAAATCCCTGGTGTGCTCATCAGGCTCGTGAGGGCCCCCAGCAGAAAGGGGAATTAAGGCACCCAGAGATGCCAGGAGGTGATACCCAGGGTAGCATGGAGGTGTTCTCCTGCAGAGCAGGGAACTGCTCTCTGAAATTCCAGCACAGGTGACCCTGCTTTCTCTGGAATGCTCCAAAGGGAGCAATTCTTTCCCTGCTGCCACCCAGAAACAACAGGTCACTTCCTGAAGATCCTGTGTCTCTACATGATAAAGAATTAAATGGAAGAGCTGAAACACCCTTTGAAGGATGCCAGAAGCTGTGTTTGAGCCCTGCTTATTAGAACTGTGGGTTTACAGCTCGTTAACATCTGCTCCCTAATCAGCGTTCTGCAATCAGGTATCCAAAATCCTCACCCATCTGTCACTACGCTGAAGTAAGACAATTTTCAGTGGAAATCAAACCAGTACACACAGAAACCCAGCAGCCAAGAAGGGCTTTCCACCTCCTGTAAGTGAGACAGAAGGCAGAAACTCAAGCCTCAGCCACAGGAAGAACACACCAGTGCCACTGCCTGCTCCAGCTGAACTCTGCTGCTTCCCAGGCACTCACACACCCCAGGGAGGGCTCCTCCCTCCTCGTGACAAATTGAAAATGACCCTTTAAAAATAAAGGTGTCAAGCAGCAACTGCAGATTTGCTTCTGAGTGTGTTCACGGCAGCTTTGAGACCCTCCAGAGGGGAAAACATCAGAAGAGTTTAAGGAGGGAATTTATGATTTCATTTGAGGCTGGTTTAGGTGTCAGACTGCTCTGCTGCACTGGTGCTCAGGGAAGCCCGTGGAAGGGGTGAGGATGGCTGGAGCAGTGCAGGAGGATGAGGCTGGCAGGGAGATCCCTTGTGGAGTTCTAGATATAGAACTTATACACTTTGTATATATAAAACTTTATATATATTACTATATTCTAAAACCTTAAACTCTAAGTTTTCCACCCTGTGATATTACACACTTCTCTTCAAACTCCACACCCACAATCCCAGTTCAACCATTCCATTTTGGAAGCCTTTGGAAGCTTCTCCAGGGCCTCAGGTCAGTGCAGTGTTCTCCTGGGGGTCAGTGCCTGGCAGCACACAAAGTCTCCAATTCTCAGCAGCCACCAGGGTTCCAACATCCCCTCCCACTGCACATCAGCACAGAGCCATGGAGCTGGGGAACAAACTTGGGCACAGCCTGCTCTGAGGCTTTCCAAAGTCAGTGGAAAAAAACTGAATTTCCCCCAGCTGATGAAGCACACCAGGGGGTTAGGGTTCAGATTATGGGTTGGGTAAAGCCCTTCCTCTGCCAGCCCCTCCTCCTCCCCTTCAGGGAAACACTGGGAGCAGCAGGCAGATTTTAAGGAGCAAACAGCAACTATCTCCTCTGCATGGGTTTTGCTGAAAGTCATGAGATGCTGCGGAGTATTTCTGCTGTCAAAGGCTGACTTTATCTGGGGTATTTTGGGAGCCCTTGGCAGGCTGAGAGCAGGGCAGTGTGTGCCTGGCACTCACCTCGATGGATCACGGAGAGCTTACTATGGAGATGTTCTAGTGCTTTCACAATCTGAAACAACAAATCCAGAGTCAATCACAGCTGGCAGCACCACAAGGAGGAGGAAGTGATACCTGGCTTCACCCCAGACCCATCAGGAGGGCAGGAAAACCACATCCCATGAGTCCTGCACCTTGCCAGCAGCCTGAGGTGTTGGTGGGTACCCAGAGATCTTCCTGGGGGCTCCAGCACCCTGATGAGAAGGGGAGGGAGCTGCAGGAGCCTCCCCACACCCCACACTGGGCCAGCTCTCCATCATGGGTATGGATGTGCTCATTGATGGCTTATAAACAACACCACTTCAGACCAGGCATGGAAATGGCCACATGGGCTGGCACATGGACCACCCTCTTCCTGGTGCCCACACAGCAGGGAGCTCAGGTCAGGTAGGAGCTGGCTTAGAAGAGAAAGCCCTTTCCCTGCCCTCCTCACCCTGCTGCTACTCACAGAGACTGCGATTTTCCCCAGGATGTCCTCGGGAATCGTCAGGCCTTTGTCAATGACATGTTTGTAGAATTTGTCCAGTGAGGTATCCATCAGCTCCATGCAAATCCACACATCTCCCTGGAGAGTAAAGCAAGCAGATATCCAGATATTTGAACAAAACATCTCTTCTTCCAGCCTCCTTTTCCTTTGTCCCTTTCCTTTCCTCTTTCCCCTTCCCTTTTTTTTTTTGTTTTTTAAAACCCATTCAAAGCTGTCCTGAGCCCTCTTTTCCCTGCTCTGGAATTCAGTGCTGTGCACATTCCCTACCATTTAGGGCGTCCTCTTCCCAAAGCAGAGCCATGGTGATTTAGGAGCCCAGAAAGTTATCAGGAACTGAGGCTCCCAAAGCCCAGCCAGGAAAAGTTCAGCTCTGCAGAGCTGTGCTTAAAGCTCTTCAATAAATCCTCCTTTTCAGAGCTTTCCACGTGGATGAAACCAAGCCAGGGCAATTTTAACGCTATGGGACCAGGCTGTGACCAGGCTGTCCCACAGCCACAGTAAGTGACACATCCTTAGGCCAGGACTAAAACCTCCGTGTCCAGGTGGAAATTAAACCCCTGGCACCTGCAGGAAGTGCAGGAGTGGGAATTCAGCCCCAGGAAGTCTCACCTCTCGGAAGAGTGCCCCATAAAAGGTGACAGTGAAGGGACAATCCACTGTCCTCATGGAGATATCCAGGTCCATCAGCAGCCTCTTCTGCTCCTGGCTGTTCACCGTGGCTCGGATCCGCTGCAAGACAGAGCAGGTCAGGGCTGGCTGCCCCAGGGCCTTGGCACCACACCTGGGCCCTCCCAGCACCCCTCATGCCACCCCTCTGTCACCACCTTTGTCACAGGCACATCCCCAGCCCAGCACCCACAGGGTATTTACAAGGGTATTTATGGTTTTGACCTGTCACATTCATATTTTCTGAAAAATCCCTTCACCCAGGATTTTTCTCCTGGGAAGCTGAGAAGCCTCAGAGAAAAAGGAAAACAACTCTTATCTCATTTGCTTCACCTGTGTTTTGCTCCTTTGGAATGTGGTTGGAGATTGTTTACCCACAGGTGATTGTTCCATTGGTTTTTGGTGTGAATTATTATTGTTTAATAGCTAATCAGGGCCAAGCTGTGTCAGACTCTGGAGAGAGTCACGAGTTTGCATTATTATCTTTTTAGCATTGTGTAAGTATCCTTTCTGCATTCTTCAGTATAGTATAATATAGTATTCTTTAATATACTATAGTATCATAAAATAATAAATTAGCCTTCTAAGAACATAAAGTCAGATTCATGATTCCTTCCTGCCACGAGGGTCCCCGCAAATACAATAATGACCCAATCCTTCAATATTTCGTCTTATGGACTCATGCTGCAGTGTGAGCTTTCTTAGTCAATCATGTTATGACATACAAACCTACAGTACTGCATTCTAAACCCATTGTTCACTTTTGTAACTACTTTTATTTTTTCTGTATCTTAAACTCTAAAACTCTAAACTTTCTTCTTCTGAACTTAATGTGTCTCTGCTTCAAACTATAAATCCACATTATCGCTTCTAGTACTCAAGTTTGGAAGCCTTTTCCAAGCTGTCAGATCAAATCCTGGGTTTAATTTTAAGTTTTGGTGCGTGAGCACTCAGGGGTGTTCTCACCACTGGTGGTTTTGCTCTTGCCTGCAAACACCACTCTTTGTGCAAGAGCCAAAAGAAAGAAGTGGCTTGGGAGAGGAGAAAGGAGCACAAAATCAGATTCTGAGCTGGTGGGAAGCTGGGATTTTTGGAGTGCAGTTCTGTTCCATCAGCAGGTTTTGGGCACAAGAGAGGGCTCCAGAGCCCGTGGGTTCCCCATGGCTTTGGAAAAGGGGCATTTCCCAGTGTCCCAGGAAGAGATGTCCTTGGTGTGAAATACCTGGAGACCCTTGGCTGCCAAACACGTCTCCAGGGCAGACACAGGTCACACACACCTTCCAGGCTCCCAAAGCCACCCGAGGTCACTTATGGGCCAGAATCAAACTGCTCAGCACCACAGAGAGCCTGAGTGCTCCTACCACGCCCTGCTGAGATCCTCCATCCCTTCAGAGAGGCCTTTGGCAGTTTGGTGAACCCCGAAGCAAACAAAAAGACCAAATGTAGAGCACAGGGGTCCTGGGACCTGGCCCAGCCAGCACCCACAGCAAAATCTACCCACAAGTGAGGAGCAAAGAGTTTGCTCAGAGCTTCCAGATCTTTTTCTCCTCCTCTGAAAGGAAACTAAAATTCAGCCAAGCAAAAACTGGTCCTTCCCAAACTACAGTTTTTCCCATGACCATTTCCCTAATCTCCAAATTTATGAGTCTAAGCTGTTGTTATGAAAACTTTTCATGATAGTATCTACAAGCCTGCCATGAGTCAAGATCCCACTGCGGCAGGCAAAATGTGAAAATCCCAACACAAACTTCCTGTTCCAAGGAGACTGAGAAAGTCCCAGATGAAGAAGAGTCTCTTGTGCAATTAGATATATTCTTCTTTATAATTATGAAAGGAATCTGAGGGGCTACAGCAGAAAAAATACATAAATTTAAATGTATATTTTTAAAATTACGGTGTATTGAATCCTAGGCAAACAGGAATATTGTGAATAGCAGGCAAAATGTGAAAATCCCAACACAAGCTTCCTGTTCCAAGGAGACTGAAAAAGTCCCAGATGAAGAAGAATCTCTTGTGCAATTTGATTTATTCTTCTTTATAATTATGAAGAGAATCTGAGGGGCTACAGCAGAAAATAATATATAAATTTATATGTATGTATATTTAACACGTGTAATTTATATGTAATTTATATGTATGTGTATATTTTAAAAATTATGGTGGTTTTGCTCTTGCCTGCAAACACCACTCTTTGTGCAAGAGCCAAAAGAAAGAAGTGGCTTGGGAGAGGAGAAAGGAGCACAAAATCAGATTCTGAGCTGGTGGGAAGCTGGGATTTTTGGAGTGCAGTTCTGTTCCATCAGCAGGTTTTGGGCACAAGAGAGGGCTCCAGAGCCCGTGGGTTCCCCATGGCTTTGGAAAAGGGGCATTTCCCAGTGTCCCAGTCTCCTACAGCACTAGAAATGATGCTGTATTGGATCCTAGGCAATCAGGAGTATTGTTGAAAAGGTGAACAATGTGTTTGATGCACCACAGCGCTGGAGCACCCCGCTTTTAAACCACTCCCCTTTTCTTGGTCCAACACCCCAAACCTCCCCGTGTGGCAAGAGGATGAGGAAAGCAGAAAATGTCAGCAAGGGAACAAGGGGGATCCAAGAGTGCCCAGCACCCCAGAAAGGCCAGAAGCCCCCGAGGCTCACTGTACCTTCACTGCCATGATCTGCCCGCTGGGCACGTGCCGCATCTTCTCCACCACCCCGTACGCACCTCGTCCCAGCTCGGAGATGGGCTCCAGGTCATCGGCCTTCACCTCAAAGTTCTGTGGGACAAAAGGCAGCAGTGGCCCTGGGGGTTTGTGCTGTGCTGTGCTGTGACCCCCAGTGCAGCCCTGCTGTCCCCAAGCACAGCCCTGCTGTCCCCAGTGCATCCCTGCTGTCCCCAGTGCATTCCTAAAGGCAGCAGTGGCCCTGGGGGTTTGTGCTGTGCTGTGCTGTGACACCCAGTGCAGCCCTGCTGCCCCCAGTGCATCCCTGCTGTCCCTCATTACAGCCCTGCTGTCCCCAGTGCAGTCCTGCTGTCCCCAGTGCATCCCTGCTGTCCCCAAGCACAGCCCTGCTGTCCCCCAGTGCATCCCTGCTGTCCCCAGTGCAGCCCTGCTGGCACATCCTCTCCCCGCTGTGCATCCCCTCCCCAGCTGGGATAAATTCCCAGCCTTGGCAGTTTATATAGATATAAATTACATCTATTATATAAATAATAAATAGTAAATTTAAAAAATATTCAATAGTTATATAATTTATATAATATATTAATATATCTATATACCATTTTATATTTATATTTTAAAATAATGTAATATTTAATAGACAAATTATATTTTATATATTACATATCTATTATGTGTATCACATATTAAATAATAATATGCAGTATAGTTATATAATTTCTATAATATATATAATTTTATATTCATATTTATTTAATATTTATATATTTTAAATAATATAATACTTAATAGATATATTATACAGATAACATATATATTATATAAATAATAAAATAACAAATAAATAATATTCAATACTGTTATAATTTACATACATATTTATATATCTATATACATTTTATATTTATATTACATGTATATATCTTAAATACTATATTATTTAATAGATAAATTATATATATCACATATTTTAAATAAATAAGTAAATATGTATACATACATATGCATATATCCATATATATATATATATATATATATATAAAATGCAGGGAGGATCAGCCAGCACCATGGGTGGGGGCTGTGAGCTCTGAGGGGACGTGGCCTGTGGCCTGTGTCACAAAATGCCAGCCCCAGCAGGGGAAGGGTGGCAGGGACAACGCCGGGGCCATCTGGTGCCTCTGTGCTGAGGAGCATCCCGAGCAGGGCAGGCCCTGCAGGACCCTTCCTTCATGGGATGGTCTGTCCCAGCCTCAGCCCGGTGCCATGGAGTCATGGAGTCATGGAATCATGGATCATAGAGTGCTCTGAGCTGCCATGGAATCGGGGATCACAGAGTGCTCTGAGCTGCCATGGAATCATGGATCACAGAGTGCTCTGAGCTGCCATGGAATCGTGGCTCACAGGATCACAGAGTGGTCTGAGCTGGGATCATGGGATGGTTTGTGTGAGAGGGACCTTAAAGATAATCTCACTTCATCTTCCTGCCATGGCAGGGACACCTTCCACTGTCCCAGGGTGATCCCAGCCCTGTCCAGCCTGGCCTTGGGCACTGCCAGGGATCCAGGGGCAGCCCCAGCTGTGCCAGGGCCTCCCCACCCTTTCAGGAAAGAATTTCCTCCTAATATCCATCTAACCCTACTCTTTTTCTTTTGAATCCATTTCCTCTTGTCCTGTCACTCCAGGCTCTTCTCTTGTCCCTCCCAGCCACCCTCAGCTGGCAGCACTTTCAGCTCTCCATCCTATGAGGGCTGGGATAGAAAACACCACAGCAGCTTCTCCCCAGGGAATCACCTTCAGTCTTATTCCGTTTTATTTTATTTCCATCCTCTTCTGCCCCCAAACAATCACGGAAACATCTCCAGGTATTTAAAAGCTTATTTCTCCAGACCTGCAGATGGGCCAAATACCAGCTGGATTTTCAAATCAGGGAGAATTTCTTTTGTCCATCATCATTTTCTCCTACCTTTACAAAAGAGATCATTTGTATGGCCCCTGCATCCCTGCCCTTCTCCTTTCTGCCACAATATTGTGCAGCCACGCTGATAATAATGATAATAATTATTATTATTTTTCGATGTTTCAAGCCTGCCTCTGCCACTATCCCCAGCCACTCTGCTTGCTGCAAGCACAACCCCATCACTCAGTCCCCAGCAGTGGGTGAGGATGAACTGATTCCCAGGGAAAAATCACACATGGCTTCTTGCTGGCACAGCAGAAAAAACCCTGCAGCCTACACTGAGGCAGCTGGGGATGCCACAGAGAGCAGGGAGACACTCTGGGAATGTGCACAAGGAGCCCTGAGTACCATTTTGGAGTCCCAGCAGAGATTTGGGCATCTCTGAGAGCCTGACCTGTTCACCAGGAGCCTCTCCAAAAACAGTGCTCTCCTCAAACCAGCAGCAGAGCTTAAAGGAACAGGAGGGAAAGTGGCTTTCCCTTGGGATTGGGGCAGTGTGGGAATGCTGGTGCCCACCCTAAAGGAGCCTGGCTGGATAAACAGGTCACAGATCCATGGGAAATGCAAACCAAGGCGTGCCAGTCCCTGGGAGACAGCCACAGAGCTGTGCCTGGAGAGCAGCCTGGGCTCTGGGGCTGTCACTGGGGTTTGGGGTTCCCTCTGGGGCTGTCAGTGGAGTTCCTCTCTAGGGGGTATGACTGGGGTTCCCTTTGGGGCTGTCAGTGGGGTTTGAGGTTCTCTTTGGGGCTGTCAGTGGGGTTTGAGGTTCCCTCTGGGGCTGTCAGTGGGGTTTGAGGTTCCCTTTGGGGCTGTCACTGGGGTTTGGGGTTCCCTCTGGGGCTGTCAGTGGAGTTCCTCTCTAGGGGGTATGACTGGGGTTCCCTTTGGGGCTGTCAGTGGGGTTTGAGGTTCTCTTTGGGGCTGTCAGTGGGGTTTGAGGTTCCCTTTGGGGCTGTCACTGGGGTTTGGGGTTCCCTCTGGGGCTGTCACTGGGGTTCAGTGCACCATCACTCTGCACCATCCAGCCTGGCCTCACTGCTCCTGCCTGGAGCCTTTTGGGAGCCCTGGAGCCTTCCCTCATCCCTGGGACAGCAGGGGACAGGTGATTTTCTTGGAGCAGGAATTTGCTCTGCCTCCCTACTGCACCATGTTTCCACCTCCCAGCCCCTGCTGCAAATACAAAATCCAAAATGAAAGGAAAGCCTCCAAAATCAGGCATTTTAAACCACAACTGGATTAGCACTTCACTGCATAAATTACCTCACTGACACCAAGGCCTATCTTTTGCACTTCATACATTTATTGTCCAGCTTTAAAGTGCTTTTTGAATTCTGCTCTACCTTTTCCTCCTATCAAAATAGCTGTCCTGGGGTTTGATTTTTTCCCTGATATGTTTTTAATCCAGGTGGATTGGTTTCCATGCTGCCAGAATGATTTGTTTCCAGAGCAGGAACATGTACCCTGAGTTCAGCTCCTTAGGAGATGACTTTCAACATTAACAAAGAGAAATATTTTGGGTGAAGGCCTTAAATCAGCAAAGGAACTGCAGAGGAGAGTAAAACAACCCTGTCAGCAACCCCCTTGCTCGATAATGATAATTTCCAGGGGATTAGCTGCACCTCAGTGCAGCAAGGAAGGAATTTCCATGGTGGAAAATATGAAGGGAGCCCACGTGCCATGGGAGGCAGAGGGTGAGTGCTGGGGGCACACTCAGCAGGGCAGTGCCAACAGCAGCTCCAGCTGCCCACGGGGCCACGCTGGGCTCCCACCCACACAGCCCTGGCTGCAGGAGCACAAACACCAGGTGCCACTTTGATTTTTCTGCCTGCACGTGGCTCACAAGCCCCCAGAGCTCAGGAGCTCCCAAGGTGGATCTTCTCAGCTTTTATTCCTCCAGCAACTGCTTTTTCTTTCAGGTAAAATGGCCTGTTAATGTTAATTGTAACAGCTGGTATTTAATTCTCTGCCTTTTTTAGGGGGGTTGAAGTGAAGCAATCCCACAAGCAGCCAGCCCAGGGTGGTCTCTGGTCCAAGAGGTCTCTCAGTCTTACCTCCTCACCAATAGAGATGCAGGCTTTGGAGTCCAGATCTCTGGGTGGCCTGCCCAAAAAAAAAAAAGGAAAATATTTGAAATATTCCTACAAAGGTCAATTTTCCAACCCCCAAGCCATGCCCTCACACCTTCCCTGCAGCCCTGAGCAGCCTCCTGGCTCTGCAGGATCAACAGATCCACAGTCACCCTTAAAAAAAGGAAAAAAGTGACTGGAATTGGCATTTCTCACACCCAGCCTGCTCCTGCAGGATCCCAGAGGGATTCACTGTGAAATCAAGGCAGGTGGCAAGCACCAAATCTCTGCCAGCCTGCAGGAAAAGTGGATTAAATGGGCAGGAAGATCCAAACCTGCTGTAAATCATCACCTCAGTCACACAGCACAGGTTGACAGGCTAAAAACACTCAGTCCACAGAAGCAAAGAAGGCCAAGCAGGCTGGAGTTGCACAAAGGGCCTTAAAAACAGACATTCCTTCTGCAAGACTGAGTAGGGAAGGGGATGAGGAAGGGGATGAGGTAGGTAGGGAAGGGGATGAGTTTCATGCCTTGACCAAATGCCTGCTGCTCAAACTGGTGGCCAAAGTGTCACACCAGTGGAAACTGGGGGTCCATTCTGGTTTTTATCTTTTTTTTTAAATATTTTTCTTCTGCTCTTTATCTTTTTATCTTTTACTGCATCACCCAGCAGCACATGAGGCTGAATGATGAATCTCAGATGGGGCTGAGACCCCCTGGAAAATCAAGGGTTGTGAAATTATCACAGAATCCCAGAATAATTTGGGTTGGACATTAAATATAATTTAATTTAATTCCACTCCCTGCCATGGGTAGGGACAACTTCCACTATCCCAGGGTGCTCCAAGCTCCATCCAGCCTGGCCCCTGCCAGGTGCCAGCCAAGGCTGGGAGGCAGCTGGGCTTCGTGGTTTGCTTTTCATTCTGCCCCAGCGCTTGCAGACTTACGTGGAGCTTGTCTGTGGTTGCTCAAATGCTTCTTTAGGAATTTTCAGCCCAGGGTTTCTCTTCTTGCCTGTGAAACAAGAGAGAGGCAGAGTTAAAGAAAGGCACTTTTTGGTTGTTGTTGTTGTTGTTTGGTATGATTTGTTTGGGGTTAATTTGCAAAACACAGCTTGTCTATATTTGTTGAGCTCATTTAACAGAAATGCCCAGCCAGGCTGGTGGGGCAGACTCAGGGCACAGAGTTCAAACATAAAGTGCCTTTGTTCAGCAGGGTTCATTAAAACCTGCAAGCTCTGCCTGCCAGCTTGGTCCAGAAAACGGGCAAGAGCTCTGGCAAAGGCAGGCCAGGAGAACATGCAAAGGGAAAGGTATTTCTCCTTCTACACACACAGGATCCCTTCAAACACTTCTCAGATTTAAAACCATTCCAGATACAGAACTTCAAACCCTGGCAGGAAGAAACATCTTCTGAAAATTGCATCTGAAGGTGCAGATTGTGATTCTGTTTAACTGCACGTTTCATCTCCTGGTCACTCAAGTTATGCAAACCCAGCAAAAATAAAGCAAAATTCAAGTTTGGAGGCTTCAGAGGCATTTGTTTCTATTCACACTGACCAGCCAAGCTTTTCTGAGCTGGATGCAGCTCAAGATCCGAGGCAGCTCAGCTGCAGCTCTCCTGGAAAGGGGCTCCAAAGCAGCAGCCACGAGAGCCAGGCAGAGCAGAGAAACACAAGAAGCTTTTTAGGACTGCACAGATCCAGCCCCATTTCAGCATGGGAGAAAACAACCTGGAAACATCACTCCTGGCACCAAACCCCAAGGGAAACATCTGCCTGCTTGGCTGGGTAAGAAAATCCCTGTTCATCCCCCCAAAAAAGGCACAAACATCTAACTGAGATATTCAGCATTTTAAGTCTAACAATTTCTATTAAATACTCTTTTTTTTTTAAGCAGGAGTTTTACTCTCTGTTCCCAACCCTCTCTCTCAAACTTCACCTATACATGTGTGAATTTTTTTTTCCTTTTGACACATCAATAGATGCCTGTGCATCCCAGTGCCACAGGGGTGCTGGATCAAAGGGCAGGCACCCAGGATGGAAAATGACCTGTATGAATCAATTAATCAATTCAGATTAGCTTTTTTTTTTTTTTTTTTTTTTTTTAGTGTTTTGGTTTTGGAGTTATTTTGTTGCTGTTGTTGTTGTTGGGGTTTTTTTTGTTTTTTTTTTTTTTTTTTTCTTTTAGTGTTTTGGTTTTGGAGTTATTTTGTTGCTGTTGTTGGTGTTGGGGTTTTTTTTGTTTTGTTTTTGTTTGGGGTTTTTTTTAAGTTTGTTTTTTTTTTTGTTTGGGTTTGGGGTTTTGGTGGTTTGGTTTTTTGGGTTTTTTTTTATTTTTAGTGGGTTTTTGATGGTTTTTTTTAGTATTTTTTTTCTTCATCTGCTCCAAAAGATGGGATCTTGCTCTCTCCTTTTGATAAAGTCATGCTAGGATGGGGCAGGCTGCAAGAACCCAGCTGACACCTCATGGGAACAGCATTTATTGGAAACCCCTGCACACTCACTGCTGGGATTAGAAATCAACAGAGCTGTGAATGCACACAGGAAAAAAAATGGGAAAAAAAATGCCAGTTCTCTGCTCCCAGGAGCTCCCAAGTTCACACAGGAAAAGCAAAATAAAAGCAGCAAGGTCATGGAGAGCACAAAGCACAGCTCTGAGTTTTCCCAAAAAGTAAAAGCTGGTGTGTAGGGAAGCAAAAATGATTCTAAAAACCAGTGGAGGAATTCCTACAGCGAGCAGAGCAGCTCTTTGACCCTTTTCATTCCATTTTTTTGGCTGTATCCAGGAGGTAGAAGTGAGGAGCTCCAGATTCCCTCTCCAACCCAAGCTGTGCCAGGTGCACCTCAGACCTGTGGGATGTTAAATGGGAGGGCTGTTCTGGATGCTGGCACGTTAGCCAAAAAAAGGAATCAAAAATACAGGTCTGGCAGTGCAGGCAAACAAATTCCCTGCTCCTCTGGCATTTCCCAGGCTGCCATCCCAGCCACCTCACTGCATCCTCAAGGAAACGACACAGGCACAGGAAAAGCATCTTCAAACTGATTTTGCACGTGGAAAAGAAGACACAAAAATCCACCAAAGTGCCTAGGGAGGAACTGACTGCTTCTTTTAGGGCTGAACTGTCCCTGTGAACACTCAGCAGCTCCTCCTGGCAAACCCCAAGGATTCATTCTGTTGCAGTCACACTGGCATGACCAAAATCCAACAAGAAACAGGCACAAATTTGCTCTGTTATTCCCTTTTTTCCATTTTATCCTCCAAGCTTTGCTTGCACCACCCCGTGTGCTGTCCCTGAGGCTCAGGAACCTGCTGGGGGAGGGAGAAAATGAACCAGCTGGAAATGAAGGTGATTTGAACTGGACCCAGAACAGGCTGTGCAGCGTTGAATCTTATCTTGGTTCACGAGTGGTGTCAGCAGAACCAGGGAGCAAAAAGCAAACCCAAATAAACATTAAAAGCCTTTCTTCCTAGGGAAATAAAATCTGCATTTTGGGCAGTTTATTTTCCTTGTCTCCTCTTCACAGAACACAATATTTTGAAGCTTTGCCATTTTTTTGAAGCACAATCTGTCCATGCCTTGGAGCTGCCAAGGCACAGGCAGAGTTTAACATTCTTTGGGGTTTTCTTTTCAAGAAAGCAGAAAGCAACAACAGTAGCTTGAATAAGACATGGATTTCATGATGGCACCAGGAGGAGGATTGGGAAATGGGAATTGCCATGGCCAGGACTTGCACCTGCAGCAGAGGTGTGTGGATAGAGGGGGGGATGTGCTAGCTTTGTGGTTATTTAATAATTCTGGGCTGAAATCAGGCAATTTCATGGCTTTTAACTGGATCAGGCCAAATTTCTGAGCTCCTTTTGTTCCAACATGCAAAGCACTCATCTCTCCGAGCCTCTGGGGCCAAGGTCTGTGAGTGGTTTGCAGGAAGCAGCAGCAATCCTGAGCATGGCACTGCTTTAAAACCAAAATAAGCAGCAGAACCACCCCAGCAGGCTGCAGGAACCAGGATCTCCCTTCACTCCAGCATTAAGTCCAGCTCACACCACTGACTTTCTCCTCAAACAAACACACTTTAAATGCTTTTTTTTTTAAAAGGAAAAGAATAATTGGAAGTCTCAAGATCAGTTCTGTTCAATAGGAATTGCCAAGCAAGTGTCTGTCAAAATAAAATCCCCCAGTTTGCCAGAGCAGACATCGGCTTGGGGAGTATTAAAATCATCTGCACAGGAGCTCCAAACGTGGGGGCAGCTTAATAACACACAAAATTGGATGGTACCTGTTCCATGCACCAGAAAACCAGCATTTTCCAGAGTGTTTTTATGAATCATTACTATTTTTAGCTTTGTTTCCTGGACAAAACCACCGTGTGTGTTTATCTGCCGGTCTGTGTCGCTTGTGGCCCCTGTCAGCCCCATCTGACACAGAAACTGAGCTTTTGGAGATTGCAAATCTGAGAAAAGCAGGTGATTCAATGAAGGAGTCCCCAGCTCAGGGATTGAAAGATAAAAGCCACCCATGGCAGGCACCAGGTGCTCCAGGTGCTTCAGACACAGAAATAACAGCACAGGGCTCCAGCCTGGGGCACAACCCAGCACTGCAGAGCGGATTTACTGCAATCCCCTGGGATCTGCAAATAAGGAAAGCCCCAGTGAACCACCACACTCAGCTCCAAGTCTAAATGTGGCTCCTTCTGCAGAAGGTTCTGCTGGTGGCTCAGCAGATGGGATCGTGCATCTGCTCCCCAGCACCCAAAAAAAATGAATTTTCTGTGTAAACAACCCCTGGAGCCTTGCTGGCCCCTGAGCCTTCAAGCTAAAGCTCATTTGAGAGCTCTCCCTGCAATTTGGCACATGGAGACATCCACAAGCACTTGACTCAAAAGCCAAGTTTTAAGAATAATTGAGGCAGAAACAACCAAGCCTGGTTTACAGTGATGCTGGGAGACATCTCCAGAATCCAGTTTTGATAAACAAAACTTCCAGGTTATCTGACATTAAGCAGAAGCTTAAATCTACTTTATTTTAGCAAAAGACAAAAAACCTCGCAGTAAATACTGAGGTATTGGTGAAGCTTAAATCTACTTTATTTTAGAAAAAAAAAAAAAAAACAAACACTCACAGTAAATACTGAACCTGGTGCTGAAGAAGGTGCCACCTTTACAAAGCAAGTTTCCTACCAGTTCTTTCCTGCAAGTTCCCTCTCAGGATGAGAGGAAACAGCCTCAAGTTGTGCCTGGAGAGGTTCAGATTAGAAATGAGGAGGAATTTCTTCACCCAAAGGGTGGCCAAGCACTGGGAGAGGACCCAGGGCAGTGGTGGCATCACCATCCCTGAACAGATGTGGCACGTGGGGATGTGGTTTAGTGGTGGCCTTGGAAGTGCTGGGTTAATGTTTGCATTCAGTGAGCTTGGAGAGCTTTCCCACCCTTAAAGATTCCCTGATTTTGGGTTCTGATGCCAGCACTTGGCTGCAGCATCCCTGGGAGCTCCCGTGGCCCAGCACCGACCCCACGGCTCCTGCAGGGCCCAACCAACCCCGAGAAGCAAACCAAGGCTGAGAGCAAAACTGCAACAGGAAAAAGAAACCCTGACCCAATGAAAACACATCAAACACTTCCCTGTGAAGGTCTTAAAGCCAGTTCCTGAGGGAGGGGAGAAAGGACAATTCCAAGGGGCTCCTTAACCTCTTCCCACTGACAGAGCACAGGGATGGATGCTGTTAACCCCCCTCAATTAAATAGCAATATTGAAAAAGGAAACTTCAACATTTCACAGTGAAAAGAACAGAGAATAACAAAGAAAGGGAAGACAGAGGAATTTGCTGCCCACATGGGCTGTAACAGAAAATAAACTTTGACTTCTGAAGGAAAATCCCAGTCTCCAGACTTTTCACTGCAGTCAAAACCTTTTTATGATATAATCCAAAATAAATGGTTCCTTGCCACAAAAAGCTCCTATTTCCTTCAAAGGATATTAACTAGTTCTGTTTTCACCACAATTTATTATTAAAAA